CACTTTGAAGTATAATTTGAAGTCGGGCAGAGTGATGCCTCCAGCCTTGTTCTTTTTTCTCAGGATGGCTTTGGCAATTTGGGGTCTTTTGTGCTTCCATACAAATCTGATGATTTTTTGTTCTATTTCTTTAAAAAAATGCCAATGGGATTCTGTTGGAGATTGCATTAAATCTGTATTAAGGTGATATGGTCATTTTAACTATGTTGATTCTTCCAACTCGAAGAACATGGAATATCTTTCCATTTCTTTGTATTTTCTTTGATTTCTTTTAATAGGGTCGTATAGTTTTAATTACATAGGTTCTTCACATGTTTTATTCGATTTATTCCTAGGATATTTTATTCTTTTTGTTGCAATTGCAAAAGGAATTATTTTTTTCCACTTCTTTTTCTGATGCTTCATTATTAGAGTAAAGGAACGCTATGGATTTTTGAACATTGATTTTGTATCCAGAGACTTTACTGTGTTTGCTTGTTGTTTCTAGTAATGTTCTTGTGGAGTCTTTAGGGTTTTCTATATAGAGAATCATGTCAGAACTAGGATTTTCTGATTGGAGAAAAAAGAAACATATGTAATTGTCTTTAAAAAGTAAATTTACCCTTTAGTCCTGAATTTTCAGAAAGTATTTACATGAACTCATGAAGTATTTTGTATGTGCATTAATGTGTATGTTTCAGTTTTGTAGCTCTGTCCACTGAAAAAGCCTAGAAATAGTGATCAATTCAGGTGCAGTTTTTCTAGTGCCTGAATTGTGGTCTTGAAATATCATGTATACCTAAAAGAAACAGGCTGGGGGCAGAAAATGTATAAGATGAATTTAAACATCTTGTAGATAACAAAAGAAGCCTCAAAGACTGCTAAGTTCTCATCAGAAGAATTAGGGAATCACCTGGAAGATCCCATTGGCCTACAATGAGACAATTTGAACATGCATAAGGAAAATAACTACAGCAGATTGAAACACCTCAAAGATGTGAATTTTTAGTTATATAGAAACTGATTGGTCACCTATGTAGGATGTTAGAGGAACTATTCTTTGAAAAACTGCTAAAACATATACATTTGTTGTATGAGCTATACTACTGAGTCAGCAAATAATCCACGAGATCAAGGTTCTCTTTATGGAGTTATCCCAGCAAATAAATCAGAAGGGAATGATAGAACTGGAATATCAACATTTTCTAATCCCCAGTGAATTAGTCTAGTCATTGAGCAACTCTGGGTGCTGTCATTATAGAAAAAGACAACTAAGTAACTAGATGCTTTCTGATGGATATAGACCTATAAATAGTTTTACCAAAAAATGAACCTGGATTTGATTAAGCATTTGTAGCAAGGTTTACAAAAAAATTTCTTTTTGTAGAGGGCCAGATAGTAAATAGCTTAACCTTTGGTGGCCAGATGGTCTCTGTCAAAACTACTCAATTCTGCCATTGTAGCAGGAAACTAGATATAGAGAATATATAAACGAGTAGGCATAGCTATATTCCAGTAAAAGTTTATTTACAAAAACAAGTAGCGGACCAAGGGTTTTTTTTTACCTTTACTCCATATCCAACTATCAATTTACTGGAAATACAAACAACAGAAAAAATATTTTAAATACATTTTGGGAATGCAAATATGAAAATCAAGACTGGGAAACTTGTAGGACAAATGATGGGGATTCTTCAACAAATTGCAAGAAAGAAAGATTGTGTGGAAATTGTAGAGTTTGTAAAAACACAGGCAAAAATATATGCTTAGGGAAGCAGACGAATGTTAAGACAAGAAAATTAAGATAAATATAACTCTTGAGGGAGCATGTCAAAGACTAAAGTAGTTGACAGTTCTGTCTTCTGACATGGATGGTGATTACAAGGATGTGCACCTTATATTTGGTTAAACTATATATTTGTCTATGAAGTTTTCTGCATTTGTGTATATTTGACATTAACAGTTTTAAAAGAAAAGTTGAATAGAAAAAGTCATCAAGCAAATGCTAACCGCACACCCCCACCCCGTAAAAAAAAACTTTTGATACAGAATGCATTAGTAGAAACAGACATTTTATAAGATGAAAAGAATCCTAAATCTGTATGTATCCAATAACATAGCTTCAAAATATAAAGCAAAAGTCGACACATTAAAAGGAGAAATGTACATATCCACAGTCATAGCAAGAGACTTTGAAGAAGCATATGCAAACAGGTATAAATTGTATCTATGAAAAATATGGCATTGTATTGGAAAGACTTCTTTTTAATTAGGTCTTCTTTTTACTTAGAAACTTTATTAGAAGTATGTTTATACCTTTTATTTTAATTGAGAGTGTTATTTCTAGTTTTTAAATTTACAAGATGGCTGTCTTCTTACCAGATAACCTAAGTGATGTCTCTAATTTTTTTTCCTAATATTGCACTAAAGTTATACTTAACTTTGAATGATAACTAATTACTATTGGACTTTTTTTTCTATCGGAAACAATAACACAGAACAATTGAAATAACTATAATCCCAACTTGTAAACAAAGCTCAGTAAGTTTCCAAACTGACTTTTAATTATTATTTGCATATGGTTTAGATTTTGCTGACAGAAGTTAATCTTTCTTTGTTTCTTAAACAGGGGTTCTGAAGGAAAATTAAATGACTGCCAGATAACATTTGTAAATGAAATCTTCAAGATCGAGAAACCTGGAGCCCATCCTCTTTCATTGGCAGACGGAAAGTTTTTAAGTATGAATCTTTTTTATAGGCTAGATTGCGTATGTTATATATGATTGTCATTTTAATTGGCCAGGGAATAACTTTTACGAAAGTATAAAACTGTAGATCATACAAATTTATTTTCAAGACGACAGTTTTGATCTAAGATGTATTTTGGTCTAATGGATTTTCCTCAAATGATAAAATTTTTTTCAAAGGAATGTTTTCTCATCTTGGCATTTTATTGCCATTTACTTGCTCTTTTCTCTATTATAAGTTCTGTCCAAATAAAAATCCCATTTAGGTAATTTTGTAGCCATCCAAGATTAATTTTTAATAATGAGATTTATTTTTATACCAGCAAAACCTGAGAATAAGTACTGATTTATCCTTGAATTTCTAGAGGGTAATAAGGTTTATGTAATCGTTAGAATGTAGCCCTACCTCTTCATTGTATATATTTTAGGTGCTTAATATCATATAGATAGTTGGTAACAGAGGTAGGACTAGGTTCTAGGTTTTTTTTAATTCATGATTCAATAACTGTCTTTCCAAATAGATTACAATGTCTCATACTCCCTTAATTCTGATTTTTTTTTTTTTTTTTGTGGTGAGCAATCCATTGCCTTAATGCCACATGTCAGTGTCTAGGATATTATGGAAATGAAATGTTCAAGACAAAAGGGGTCCTGCCTAACTTCTTTTTACCACAGTTGTGCAAGATTATAAGACAAGAACTTTAACAGATCAATAAATAGACTTCCATGTTACTGTTCTCATTTTTTGAGGCTGCAATGCTAATATATCTAGACTCGAATTAAGACTCTTAAGACAAACTCTGTACGACTACTTGTATGGTTATATCTTAGGAATGAAGGTAACTTGATGAGTAAACCTATTTAATGTGACTTAGTCATTCTCAGTAAAACATGATAGAAAACCAAGATTGACTAGGTTTTTCTTGTGTCTCTCTGTTTTCTCCCACTCAGTATATCTGCATATATTTTTGTTCTCTGTCTAATGATAATCAGATTATAACTACAACTTTGAACTTGTATATAAAGAAACCATTTCAGAGCCACAGCTAGACTTCCATTGATTGGATGCCTCTCCAAACCAGAAATCTAAACATGCCTTTGGCATATTAGGTCTGCTATATTTTCATTGCTTATATGTCATCACAGCTACCTAGCGAAAGCGAAATAAAACTGTATTCTTCATTAGCAAGAAGAGGCAGTGATCAGTCAGAAAGTACTAAAATCAATAGCCTTTTCCTTCCTTCCTTCTCTCATTTGTGAGGTACTTTTTTCCATTTCCCTTATTGCTAGATCAACTTTGATATGGTAAATTTCCTCACAAATTTATTGTGTACAGTTGTTAGAAATTCAGAACTATATAAATTTAAAAATATAGAACTCCCAGGAGGTAATCACTCTTAACAGTGTATGTCATTCTAGACATCTTCTAGCTCTATAATTTATCCTTGTGTATTTAAACAATTCTGTTTTAAAAAGTTTTTCTGCAATTTTCTTTTTGAATATACCTGTCTACCTGTGTGTTTTTCATAAAATCTATCCAACTCTTGTTCTTTTGATGGACATTTAAGTTTAACTTTTGGCATTATGAATATTACTGTAAGACTTTGTGTATATATGTATATTTTAAAATTTCAAGGGAATGCTTCGTTAAAAGGTGTTTGGATTTAGATGAGGAGCGGGCAATAAATGGTACCTCTTACTTGCCAGAGTTCTGAAGCAATTGACAAGTAAGATAAAAATCAACTGAGTCATAAATGCCACTTCTGTTACTAATAAAGATAATATTGGGGGCATAGCCCATAACTAAAGAGGACTTACTAACTTGGAGCAGCCCTCTCCCGCCTGTTCAGCCCACGCAAGGAAAGGTTTGGATCTGCAGAACAGATGGTACTTAACAGTTTTATTTATTAAGTAGTTAGGTCCAAACAGCTTTGTTCAATAGAGTATTGTTTTTCTCTTGAAATATTGTTATATCTTATGGTGCCCCAGTGAGTTCAGTGCATTGTCCCTGGGCATCTTGGTGCACATTGGGGGAACTGTGAGTCTAATCAGTACAGATTGTTAAGGCAAAAGTACATGATCCTCATGGATGAGTGTAATTAGATTTATTACTGGTACATGCATGGGCCTCATCCCTGAAAATTTGATTCATAAGCCTAGAATGAGGTTCAGGTATTTATTCTGTAAGTCCTACACTTGATTATTCCTTACGGTTCCCTTCTCTTAATTAAAAAGACTGTATGCTATTTTCCTGGGTTTTTCTTTATAAGATTCATAGATATAAAAATGATTTTAAGATTGAGCTTACTATAATTTTGTCCTTAATAGGGAAAAATGACCCTGAATGTGACTTTTGTGGTGGAGACCCAGATAAGAAATGCCATTCTTGCTCCTGTCATATATGTGGTGGAAAACAGGAACCCAACATGCAGCTTCTCTGTGATGAATGTAACATGGCCTATCATATTTACTGCCTGAATCCACCTTTGGATAAGGTCCCTGAAGAGGAATACTGGTATGATTATGAGGGTTTGTTGTTGTTGTTGTTGTTGTTGTTAAGAATTGAGTGTGAAATAGGCATTTGAAACACCAAGAATAAATTTCTAAAGATACATAATGTATATTAAAGTGCTTAACATTTATAGCCAATGGTTACTTGGTATTGATACCTTTATTCGATTATTACAGCAGCTTCTGATCTAGTCTCTAGCTCCATATTTAATCCTTCTCATCTCTTCTCTAATACAGAGACTATGTTCTTCTAAAAATCAAAGTCTGATTGTGTTGTTCTTTGCTTAAGATGATTTATGTTGCGTAACAGAGCCTCTTACCATTTTCTTCTTCCATTTCTCCAAATATTCTGTGCTCTAGCCAGATTATGTTAAATATATTTCAGCTCTTTAAATCATGTTCTTTCTCTTCTCTGGGCGTTTACATTTGACACATTTTCTTCTTAGAAACATTTTCCTTTATGCTTAATTTCAGGATAATATGCATTCTTCAGGTTTTCACTTAAATATGACTTCATCTGGGAATCCTTTGTGGATGGTTCCCTCTAACCACCAATTATTTTAGATGCTCCTATTATGTTCTATAATAGCAATTAAGAGTTTTTAAGTGCTTAATATATGCTAGACATTAACACAGTGCTTTATATGTTTTATTGTGTTTAATCTTATGAAGTTAATAAGTAGAACCAGGCACCAAGGTCACATATACTTGACAGAATCTATATTTCTTCTATTGAGTAGTGTTACCTACAAAAAGAAATGATTAGAAGAGAGACTAGGAAAAATGTGCCCCAAGTTATAATGAACTTTTTAATGCCATGCTAAGTTTTTTCTTTATAAACTATGGGCCACTTTGCTAGCATGGAGGATTTTTAAGTTGGAAGGATGACATACTCAGAAATACTAACATCATAATGGGGTAGCTGTTATCATTGTAAAGAATAGATTGTTCTCCATCTTCTCCCCCACGCCTTCCACCCCTCAGCCTTTGGGAAAGTTTTTATTTTATTACAACAGAGGCTGTATGGTTGGTGGAAGAAAGGAAGGGATATAATTTCTTTCACTCCCTACCACTACTTCACATGGTCACACCCCAAATTTTACCACCACCAGTAACTATATTTCCTCTGAAGTCTCATATTTTTCTTATGTTACTATGGGCGATATATTCCTGCTTCTCTAAAATGTAAGCCCTTTTACCTGCTCTCACAGTTCTGTATCCTGTTGCCTTGTCAGGAACTTCACTTCTGCAGTGAATTTCTTTCCTGAATTGCTATTACTGGGTCATCCTCTTTAGTATCCTAGAATTTCTTAAGTTTTCAACACACACACACACAGACACACACACCCCACCCCACCACCCCCCTTGATCCCATTTTCTCCAGCAGCTGCATATCCTATTTCTCTGCTCCTTTCATGGCAAAGCTTCTTAAGAGCTATTTCCGCAGATAATTTCCACTTCTCTCCCCCCATTCATACCTCAGCACTCCAGTCTTTTCTTCCCACTACTCCACTGTATCTACTTATGTCAGGTACACAGATACATTCCATGTTGCCAAACTCATGATGACTTCTCAGTCTTCTCCTTAGTAAACTGCTAGCTCTTTTTATAGACTGTATACTATGTGATCTAATTTCCTCCTACTTCACTGGCCTTTCCTTCTTAGTAACCTGTTGGTTTTCTCTCACCTACCGGATTTCAGAGTTTCCCAAAGCACTACTCATTTGTTTTCTGTCTTCATGCTTGCTCCCTAGATGACCTCATCCAATCATGAGACTTAAAATACCAAGCTAATGGTTCTGAATTTATACTTTCAGATTTAATCTGCCCCGAGCTTTCTAATCCTATATCCAACTGCTTACTTGCCTGGGATCACAAAATTAATGAGTCCAAATAGTGATCTTGATTCTACCAACACACTGCCTAAAATCCTGCTCCTCTAATGTTTAGTCTATAATACCTTCATCTTTGATTCCCTCTTTACCACCCCTCTTGCATACTCTACATCCAATATTATATGAGCATATCTTGTCAGTTCTCCATAATCTTTCTCTCATCTCACCCCCCAGTCCAAACCACCATCTCTTCCCCAAACTGCTATAATAAATGTCCAACTAGTCTCCTTGCTTTCACATTGCCCACCAGCTTCCTTTTTCCCATAGCAGCAAAATGCTCTTACTAAGTTCTGAATCAGGTTACTCACTTGTTGAAAACCCCTTAATGTCTTCCTATTGCACTTACAATAAAATCTAAGCCCTTGCCATCTATGACCTGGCCCCTGTCTACTCTTTAACCTCATCACTTATCACTATCAAGTTTATTTACTAAACTTCAACTTTACCCATGTTCTTTATAGGTAGAGAGAACTTTATATTCTTCAAAGCATACCATTCCTTCCTTTCCTCAGGACCTTTCCACTTTGTGTCTCTGCCTGGAATGCCTTCTCTTGCTTCTTCATACGACAGACTCCTCTTATTTCAGCTGGAATACCACCTGAGGAGCTTTAACTATCTAAAGACACATAGCATTTCTAATTATTCTTACCATGTAAATAACCCTGATATATTTCCTTTTTAGCACTTAACCACTTTCTGAAATTGTTTCATCGTACGTATTAGTCTTCCTTAACTACTGTGTACAAACATTTTGATCACAAACATTTATCCCCTGCACCACAATAGTGACTGGCATAAAGGAGGTTCTGAACAAACCTGCTGAAGGAATGAATCCCAGAGGTGATTTAGGATCATATGATTAGAAGACCTTCTTAGATTACTCCATAAAATATCTCTACATTCATATCTAGGTCCTTCACTTCATCTGGAACTCCTTAACCTTAAATATTTTCTGTGTCTACAAATCATGTTGTCAGGATATTTATTTACCCTCTGAACTTATTTTCTCATCAGACAGAGATCGTGCCTGCTATAACCCTGAGATCTTTGATAAAATTACAGTTATAAAGGGTAGCACATCAGATAAAATAGTCTTAACAAATTAATTTTTGGAAGCTTTCCTGATTTTCTAATTAGGAGAGATTTCACTTGATAGTATTTATTGCCTTCTCATACATAATTTTACATTGAATTTGTGTATCTTACCGCCTACCTAATTTTCTCAGAATCAGGGACTGAATTATTTACATTTTTTTTTCCTATAGCACTAAACAAGATATCCCATAATTAGGCAATTAAAATTAACTAAATGGGTATAGATGTCTTCTTTGCTCTATAGGCTACATGGAATAGATAATTATGAAATGGGAAGTATAAACAAAGAAATTTAAGATTAATGGGGGAGTGGCCAGCTGATCCTTACGGATCTATATTCCCAAATATAGCTGATCTATATTCCCAAAGTTTCCGTTCCTTGGTGACACAAGAATAGCCTATTTTCTTCTATAAACATACTTTGCTCTTTAGAAATAATTTAAGGCAACTTATGACATACAGGCATACCTCATTTTATTGTGCTTCATAGATTTTTTTTTTTTTTTTACAAATTGAAGACAAGACACTCCAGCAAAAATGTTATGACTCATTTTATTGCAATACTCACTTTGTTGCAGTGGTCTGGAACTGAATAAACTTGCAAATATTGCAGAAGTTACAGTAGGGTGACCAACTAACTATAAATAGGCTAAAGGACAAAGTATAGGGAATTAAAATTGAGCTAGGAATAAAACTATTATAAATGAACATCTTTGAATACTTATAATAGATTTTATGTTTTTCACTTTGAGAATTCTAATAACCAATATAGATGGGGAGATATATCAGTTGCATAGTTCAGTGTTCAGTCTCGAATCGTCTGTTCTTGCTACTTTCGCTTTAATGATAAAAACATCAAATGAATAATTTCCATTCTCAGGATTGGTGATGAAATCAGAATGCACGGTGCTATTTAAATGGGACTGGCTTATGAACCAAATTTGAGAATTTATGATATTAAAATCTTTTAAGTTCTCTAAAGAATGACAAGTTTTTCTTTTACTAGCCTAACCATGTAAATATTTTGAAAAGTTTAATTTTTCTTTGACTAGCCTAACCATGTAAATATTTTGAAAAGTTTAATTTTTAAATGCCCTCTGAAGCTCTATAACATACACTAATTGTAATATCTTAAAACTCATTCTGATGAAGAAAGACCATTATTTTGTTATTGGCTTTAATATCAAAATCTTTTTTTTTTTTTTAAAGGTATTGTCCTTCCTGTAAAACTGATTCCAGTGAAGTTGTTAAGGCTGGCGAAAGACTCAAGATGAGTAAAAAGAAAGCAAAAATGCCATCAGCTAGTACTGAAAGCCGGAGAGACTGGGGAAGGGTAAAGAAGAAAGTCTCCTTTTCATCTGAATTACAATGTTTAGAACTGTAATGCATGTTATAATGTTTCGATAACAATAGTAGTAATGGTATAAATGGTATTTTAAGTATTAGAAATATTAACAAATAACTGTTGTTTAATGATACAAATTGTTAATTTATGTTGTAATTGTTAGTTTAATCATAAATTGTTATATATTGTTAATCATATAAATAGGTTTCTATTTTGTTCACCTCTTACAGTAATTAAGGGCTTTAAGATTTAATGTAATTGGTGTCTCAGACAGCTTGTTCTGTGACTTATAGGGAATGGCCTGTGTTGGTCGAACTAGAGAATGTACTATTGTTCCTTCTAATCATTATGGACCTATTCCTGGAATTCCTGTTGGATCAACTTGGAGATTTAGAGTTCAGGTATGTTTTAAATTGGCTCATTTGAAAAGGTAATATTGGGTATAGTTCAAATTGTAGCAAATATCAGTGTCTTTCGATTATAAATGGACTACCCTAGGTAGTATCACATGGCATTCAGTTGTTAGAATGAAAGATTTTCTGTAGGACAGATAGATTCTTCCCCAGAGCTTAATAGACAGAGGAACATGCATTGTGGAATTGGGCATCAGGTATGCCTTGTCATCACTTTGTTTTACTCTTCTGTTACAGTTATGGTAGTTAACATTATTGTTAAGCTTTCCAAAGAATTTTTCTTAAGAATTTAATATTTTAAGTATTAGGTTTTTTTTTTTTTTTCCTTTAAGTCAAGTGCTGAGTTCTCATTTAATGTCCTTGAACTCCAAGAAAGTTCACTTTAGATGTTTTCTTTGGTGTCATTCTCCTAAACGATTGTTAAGATACTGGTTAGAGGAACTGCCAGATAATCCAAGGATAAAATTACTTCTCTCTTTTCTTCTTGAAGAAGGATCTGTTTTATTTATTCCTGATTTCTTCTTTAGAAAGGCAAATTTAACATTATGGAAAACTTAATGTGGAAAAAAAAAATCTTAGAGCAATTTCCAATTAGAAACTCTCAGGATTTTGAACTTTAAATAAGAGTAGAGTAGCCCTGGTGCTTAGACCATTGATAACATTTTCAAATTAAAATAGTGTAATATATATCCATAACTTGAAAAGTTAAATACTAGTATATGACTTATATTATAAAAACCTGCCCTTTTTTGATTCCCACTTTCTGTTTCTCAGTGACAATCACTTTAACATTTTAGTTATTTCTTCTGGATTTACCTCCTTATTTCTAAGTAACATGTCTATGCTGCTTTTGTCTTCATATATTAGTTTTATTAACTTCCTCCTGTGGAAGATGAACATGTAGTTTAACATACTCTGTCCTCCCATCTTTGCAATGGTTATGAATAATTTTGACTAAATCAGTATTCAAGGTTTTTATTATTACGACTTTAGATTTATAAATACAGTAAAAATATTAAAATACAATTAATAAAATGCAATAAAAATACACATTGTATATTTTTAATTATCTTGTTTTTTTGTTTGCTTCATTTTTTTGTATACCTGTCACTAATTCAGTCAAAAAGCTAAAAGCCCCATTAATACAGTCTAAGACGATTTTGAGGTAGTTGGCCTTAGCAACTAAAAGAATGCCGTTTAGAAAGTAGGAAAGGTTCAGAATGGATTTATTTTTATCAGGGTTGGTAAGGTAGGAAATTAAGCGGTTCTGTCTTCTGAAGGACCTGGTATTTCCAAGGTCTAAATCTTGGTTCTGTTGCTCCTATCAGCTTCTCCTGGCCTTCTGTTGTGCCTCTTAGCCAACTATACTGGCTTGGATTTCATCTCCTTTTTCTCCGCTAAGAACAATTGCATGCTAAACTCATGAATTACAATACTCCTCTTGGAGAGTTGGAAGTACACTTATTTCAGTGAGCCAGAATTGAAGGTATATGGGAAAAATAGTAGGCCATTGAAGTAGTAGAATAGCATGAGTAAACTAAGAAAATGGATAGCATGTTTGGATAACACTGAGTAGTTTTCATTCAAAAATAGAGGCTCCATGGAGAAGAAGCTGGAGATATAGTAGATAGGAGCCAGACTGAGAGAGGATAATGTATAATACTTAACTTGATCTTGATATACTATAAGACCATTTAATATATTTTAAGCAGTTAAAAATTAAAAGCAAATTTGTTCTTAAAAGGATCATTCTGTTTATGGTGGGTAGAACGAGTTCGAAGGAACAAAACAGGGCAGTAAAAAGGGATCTATTTTAAGCATTAATGACTCAAACTAAGATTATAGCAGTGGAAGGAGAAAAAGATGGATTCAAGAATTCTGGGAGATCACATCAGTAGTATTTGTGACCAAATGGGTTTGAATAATAAAGGAGAAGAATGAGGCTAATGTGAATCTTGCCTTTCTGACATGGCGAGAGAACAGTGCCATAATCAAAGATGAAAAAAAAAGGAAGAGATGCAGAGCACTGATAGTAAACTCTTTTTTACCCAAGTTGAGCTGGAATTACCAATAAACATAAGGTGATGATTATTTAATAGTTATTTTAAAACTCAGAATTCTAGGCCCGAGCAGTTTTAAACATCACCAGCTTAGTATCTAAGGGATATGTAGTTGGGGAGAAGTAATGTCTATGAGCAAAAGATAGAACTCTGACTGAGTTGCAGTTCTTAGTTGGAGGGTTTTGGGGTCTAATGATGTATGTGAAAGCATTTTGTAAATGTAACTTAACTAACTGTTCAAAGGTATTTTGAGACTATTTATTTTATAGGTGAGCGAAGCAGGTGTTCATAGACCCCATGTTGGTGGAATTCATGGTCGAAGTAATGATGGGGCTTATTCTCTTGTCCTGGCTGGTGGATTTGCAGATGAAGTAGTAAGTCATGATATGACCTTGTTCTTTAGAACCTGTCTTGATTATTTGGTACAATACAGAAGTTTTGTCTATCAAAAAGATAGGTATATCAAATCCTATCTTTTTAGCATAATTTTTACATTGAAATGATCAGTTATATACAAGGTAAAGTAATTGGCAGTCTTTAATCTTTATATGTATTATTTTGACTTATATATACATGTGATAACTGATTATTGCAATAAAAATACATTCTCTATAGAGCTCTTTTTTTTAAAATTTATTTGGGGATAAGTGTAGATTGGCATGTAGCATTAGAAATACTATAGTGATTTTTGTTCCCTTTACCAGTTTTCCCTCAATGGTCACATTTTGCAGAACTATAGTACAGTTCACAGCCAGGGTACTGACATTGATATATTCAGGACACTGAACATTTATTTCCCATTCCGCAAGGATCCCTCAAGCTGCCCTTTTATAGCCACATCTCCTATACCTGCTCTCCCAACCCCTTCTTAACCCCTGACATCCACTAATCTGTTCTCTGTTTCTAAAATTTTATCATTTCAAAATCTTTATAAGTGGAATCATATAGTATGTAACCTTTGGGACTGACATTTTTTTGCTCAGCATAATTCTCAAATTATGGCTTTTATCAAATTTGTTCTTTTTTATTGCTGAGTAGTAGTCCATGATATAGATGTACTACAGTTTATTTAACTATTCACCCATGGAAGAACATCTAGTTATTTCCAATTTTTGTCTATTATGAATAAAAGCTGCAATAAATGTTTGTGTACAGGTTTTTATAAACAGAAGTCTTCATTTCTCTGGTTTAAATGCTCAGGAATGCAATTACTGAGTTGTATGATAGTTGACATGCATAATTTTGAAGCTATATCTTTAAATATTTTTCAGAAATACAAAGAATATTATATAGCTTGTTACAGTGAGCACTTAGAATTTTTTTAAGGCTCTGTAAGAAAACCAACTAAAAGTGGAATCTCTTTAACATATGTTTTTAGCAGCCAGCCAATTATATTTGATCTGGGCTTTGACATTTGTGTGTGAGACCTTGGCCAAAGTTATTGATATTAAATGATGTAATCTCTGGGCACATGGATCGACAGTTCTGTGGTCTGGATCAGAAGCTTATCTCAAATGCATGAAACATATAAACATGTAATTGTAAAGCTAAAAATGAGTACCAAGTTGAAGTAGGATGGGTATTATTCCTTTTTTACATCTTTTGAATACAGTTACTAGTCAAACATTAAATATTTGTGGAGAAAAGTGCTGATGAGTTTTAGTTACGCATCTCAAGCAGTTAATTCTAAGTCTATTAACTACTGTAAAAAATTATTTTAGGACTAAAACACATAGGCTTAGATTGCCAACTAAGATGTATCTGGAGATGTTATATTTTGTAAACATTTTCAATCTTTTGATCTTTTATCGTAGGCAAGTTACATCTACAGAAATAGATGGAGGAAACCTGAATAAGCTTTTCTCATTCAAAAAAAATTTTTGTTCTGAAACCTTTAATTCGATATAACATTCACGGAGCCAGTGATCTTTGTTGTGTGTGGATGAATGGATGTGAAACTATTGAAACCTGCTGATAAAGTGGTTAACATTTTTGTCTAGTAACTTGAGAATTAATCTAATGCTAGTTTGGCCTCACTTGAGAAATGAGGACCCACAAAGATGATCTGCTTCCTAACAGTTGTCCTGAGAAGTAGTTTGCTCAGTGATCAGGAACAGACTCTGGAGCCAGGCTGTTTGAGTTTGTGTCCTGGTGCCATTTCTTATAGCTATGTGACCTTAGGCAAGCTGCCGAACCCTTCTGCCTCATCTATAAATAGGGCTTACAGTACTTAAAATAACCTACCTCATAGAGTTGATGTAAGGGTTAAATCAATTAATTATATGTAAAATGCTTAGCCTAACCTTCACACAGACTCTTAAGTGCATGTGTTAGGTATTAACAATAGTAGTGCTAGTACCCTGCTTTGTGGGCATGTAAGGGATCGTATGAGAGAGAAACTGGCAAAAATTGAGGCTATATTCTAGACAGCTTTGAATTAAAGAATCATTAAAGGTGTCTGGGAAAAGTTTAATGATTTTAATTGTGCTTTCGGATATTTATCTGATAGTCTGGGGGAGGAGGGTGAGAAGATTGAGATGAAAGTCTTTTGCCTGATAAGAGTGATGGCAGGAATGGGAGGACCCAGCTTATTGTGTTAGGCAGCTGCTTTACAGTTTAGGAGAAGAGTAGAGATTGGAAAATCATGAGAAATCGAGTCAGTCTGGGGCAGCTGATGGCTACTTTATGTAAGCTTCTCCCAGGCAGCAGTCTTGTTTAAGTTACTGCCTCATTGGGGTACAGCTTAGTAGAGCATGGACTAGAAAATGCAACAAATTAGGTTGATCATTTTCCATAAAAAAGAACAGTCTGAAATAATATTCGCTTAGTTCTGACAGTCTGGCAGTTTTTCCCCCCAATGGAAATTAAAGTTTTTGTTAGTGCAAAGATTGAAGCATAGATGATTTAATAACATAGATTTTGAACTATTTTTACTTGATTATTTGCTGCTGGAAGAATAATCAGAAATGTTTTCGTTATCTTTTAAACGCTGCTTAGTGCAGCATTTAGCCTAGGTTGCACCTTGTGTGCTCTCCTAATTCCTCCTACTTTTTCCTTTATAGCACTACCACAATTATAACTTTAAAAGTTGACAGGGTTATGAATATGAACATTGTGAAGTCAATTCAGATACTATTTGGAAGACTGTTTATGATTAATTTAAGGAGTGTTCTAGACTTTTGTAGGTGTACTTATTTATTAGAATTTCTTTAAGTGGAGTACAAACTAAAGATGAAATTCCTTAACGCTTTATTTTTTAAAATTTAGACATCAATATTGGATCAACAAAAAGGTTTTTGGACAGACTTTTAAAGCCATGAGACTTTAATTATGACTTTTAAGCCAAAGGAAAAACAAGATGCAAAGTAACTGACCTTTATTACAGGCAAGAATTTAGTAGACAAAACTTTATTATCCTAAGTGCAGTCTGAACTAATTAATTAAAATAATCTTGAATTAAAGAAGAACCACTATTTAGATAGTGTTAGTAGAATTAATTTGTATGGTGCTAGTTACTTTTCTCAATTTATTTTGAGGTAGAGACAATACCAATATAAATTTATAGCTACTACAGAAATATTTGTGGAACTCATTTGTATACCGTCTACTTCTTTTGGCATGATTTTTTTTTTTTCACATTTAGTAGACACTTTATACAACTTAATGAAAGGTAATTATTTTACCTGAATGTAATTTGAGTGAACCCATAGAGTATGAAATGTTGGGGAACTTACCATACTGTTAGGATTTGAAATTTGAAATTTAGCAACAAACTTGAATACGGTATAGATTGCTGTTGGGAAATCAGTTATGGAGTATTTATTAAAATGATACTTGATAAAGAAACTAGAAGCTAATATTGATAAGTTTATTTTAATAACACTGAATTAAAAGAAACAATATTTCCAACCCATATGACTTTATTTTGAAACATTCTATAGATATATTTGGTTATATATGTAGTATGAGAATAGTCACATTTGGGGATATTGGAAGCTATATAACTTTAAAATGAAATCTTTAGATCAACTGATATAACTTGAAGGTATACTACATGCAAGATTGCATTGAATTTTGGTAGATACTGTGAGAGACCATGTCAGTTCATAACATCCTAACCAAATGTTCTGACTCTGAAACAAGAATTGATGAAATTATACTTGGGTTTGTGTATCTAATGATGAAAATCTTCTCCTATAGGACCGAGGTGATGAATTCACATACACTGGGAGTGGTGGTAAAAACCTTGCTGGTAATAAAAGAATTGGCGCACCATCGGCTGATCAAACATTAACAAACATGAACAGGTACTCTTTATTGTTAGAGTTTGTAAAGACTATTTATAATTTGGGCTCTGTGTAAATGTTTGATTATAGCACTATAATTTATAACTTAGACTGTAGAGGAGGATCTTAAATTGAACATTAAAGATCTAAAATTACAATTCCATTACTTGATTATATAATTATTTGTAAGAAATCCTAACTTATTTCTTCAAATTATTAGTTTTCAAATGACATAATACATAATTCCCAGTCTTAATACATGCGCTTTGCATTTGAAAACATCCTGAAAGCTTTAAAAGAAGGAACCCCACGTTAAGTGAAGTTGAGGACAAGGTGGCTTTATCCACTACCCCGTAGGTCAAAGTTGCGTTCTACTCAACACAGATTTATCTTTTAAAGATACACTTCTTTTTAGAGGATACTCACTAATGTGAAACAGGGTTATGTTTGGGAGCCACATTTATGCACGTAAGCGAAACATCAGATAACTTAATCAGAACTACACTCAAGGTGCTTTCAGGATTTAAAATAATAAGATGTCTTTAAATATTATGAAAGAGAATGTTTATTTATGAAAGTGACCTTTTCTAACTAAATGCTTATAAGGTGTTATGAAAGACCACCTTGTGTCGATCTTTATTCTATAGAAGTATTAATGACATTCCAGCTTCCATGGGAAAAGAAAATAACTTCAAAATGTTTTATAAATGCATGCTAATATCAGTAATAATAAATTAAGTAATCCAAACCATCAGATAGCAATGACCACATTATAACTTGTTTTACTGATAATTTTGTGATCATTTCATAAAGTTGAAATTTTTTTGCATTCTATCAATAAGGGCGTTTTGTGGGTTATTGAGTAAAAGTATTTTTCGCTTTCTTGAATCTAAATCACTCGGTTTTAAGTAGTGTGCCCTTAATTTCTGATTACCGTGTGAAGTAAAGAATATACCAATATGGGTTAAAGACTTTGTTGCATACCAGGTTATATAGAATCTGTTTTTATGTCTTCTATATTATTTCTGACAGTAGGATTATTTTACTGAACCAGCAGAGGAGACAGGTCAGATTTGCTGGTGAAAACATTCCTGAGGCAGGAGTCCAGTCCCTAGCTAGTCTTTTCCTATCAAGATAGCAGTTCTTTAGGAAGAATGATCTTAAAAGGAGTTACAAATCTTTTGATGTGCTTTTGTCATTGAAAATGTATCTAGAATTTGCAAAAGGCTTTTTGAAGTTGTTGAATCCGAAAGTTATATTTTTCTCTTTAATAATAATAGATTATTTTGCTTGAATGAAACTTCTTTCATAATCACCTGCACTTGTAATGTACATGGTAAATTCTTTTCAAGCTTTTGAAGAATCTAATAAGTATACCCTGTTTACCTTATGTTAACAGTCTCGTTAGAAAATAATTGACAAGTAGTAAAAATGTTTGTATTAAAAATAAGATAATGAAAATGAAATAGTAACTCAAAAACAATTTAGGATTGACATATCATAGACTTTGACATCCGTTCAATTAATTTATACATTAAGCTGTGAGTACGATTAATTGTAAAGACCTCTTAGGCAAAGGTGCTTATTTGTGTTATAAACATGAAAGCTGTGGTGAAAGGCCCTTAGCTCTTACCTGCAGTATACTCTTTCCTGACTAGTATATGGTCCAATTCATTTTTGCTTCTCTGCTAAGAGGTAGTTTGACACCTGCTTCTTGCTTTAAGAAGTTTGTTCCTATCTCTTCTCAGCTCTTTTACTTTATGAAGCTGAAGAGGGTAGCAGGGTAATCTGGCTGTCCTTTATCAGGGCAGTTAGAGGCAACCTGTTGAGATGTGGATAGAGTAATGGAAGAGCCTTATTGTTGTGGCTAGTTTCATCCTCTGGGACTCTTTTCACATACTTGAACAGCCTGAATATTTTCATGAAGCTAGAAGGGAATTAGTGCCAGTTAATGGTGGCAGTCATTATGACTGAAGGTACCTGTGAGCACCAAAGCATTATCTTCATTAACATGAAGATAATATTTATCCTTATCCTAGCTCTTTAAGAAGATGGAGTATGTATATCTCAATAGATATTCCATAAATAGCCCTATAGTCGATTTTCTTCTACCTCTCAGGATTTTAGTGCACTTCCCTTTGAGATAAAGATAACTTGGTAAGCTTTAACCTTTGACTGCATTTATAAATTTTTAAATTTTTTTTTAATTTTTTATAAATTTTTTTTTAAAGAAACATTTTCTTAAGTTCACTTATTTTAACAATATAACCGTGATCAAGATATTTTAGTAGATTAGTCATTTAGTCTTAAGGTCTATTTTTTTTTATTTGAGCCTGTATAAAAAGAACTATATACCCTGAATAAGATTTCGTATCATATATGATTTCACTAGATTTTGTGTGTGTATGTGTGTGTGTGTGTGTGTGTGTATTTTTGACCATACATGTTCTCAGTGGTTTCTTTTCATCTAAGTTAGGAAGTAGGTGTCTTAGAGGAAAAAATACTACTTTTAAATAGATTCTAGCTTGGTTTTTCTTTTTTTGGCAGGACTAAGTTCTCCCAAGAAAGGTCTTCTAACATCTAATAACCTTACTGATTAATTACTACTAAGTGAGTACGCATACTAAGGAAGCTTCAGCTAAATCAGGTGCTGCTTCCAGCTCAGTTTTCTTCCTGTTCATATGTCATCAGTAAAATGTAGTGGTCTCAAACAGCCAAAAATCTTTATTGTCATGATTTAGCACAGCCATTTGAATGCTTCAGTTTTATTTAAACTTATCTTTTTACTGGAGGTCTTTAAAGAATATTCTCATATTGAGCTTGTTCTTAATATCTTCTAAACTTTGAGGAATCTCTGTTTTCTGGAATGTGGAAAGTGGACCTAGAAAGGTCATTTGTACCTTGCTGACAAATTTATTTTTCTGGATTTCTTTCTACATTATTCCAGCAATTTACCTCACTCCCTTATCAAAAATAACTATTAAAACAATCACTTGCTTTAGTTTCCCAACTTTCTCCCTTCCCTCAACAAACGTTATTTAAAGAAAATTCCATGTATTTCTAGTTGTTTTCTATTATACGTGGCACAGATGTTATTACTTTCAGAAGAACCCTACAGGCTATCTGAGAACCAATCCCCTGGCTTGGGGGTGACATCAGAAAACTGATTTGTCTTCTCTGCTGGTGGGGGAAAGCATAATCCTATTATCTGGAATAATATGGAAAGAATCATAGAATCTTAACCATCAGGTAAGGCATAATTCACCTTTTAATTGAGCTAATGATGCGATTATATACTTGAAGAAAGATTACTTGGTATAAAGACTTTGTTTTATTTTTTAGGGCATTGGCCCTAAACTGTGATGCTCCATTGGATGATAAAATTGGAGCAGAGTCTCGGAATTGGAGAGCTGGTAAGCCAGTCAGAGTGATACGCAGTTTTAAAGGGAGGAAGATCAGCAAATATGCTCCTGAAGAAGGCAACAGATATGATGGCATTTATAAGGTGCTCTATCTGGCATGACCTCTTGTTAGTCATTCTTCCTGGGCTTTCAGGACAGGGTTACCACAGGGAACTGCTCTACTGTGGGTGGGTTGGAGGAAACATTAGACCATCTTAGTTGGTAGTCTGCTTTTTCTGGAAATATAACAGCTACACCTAGTGAACTCTTCAATACTTTTAAGGCTAGTTTTAAGTTTGTAAAGGCAGAGTTATATTTTGGGTTAAGCTTTTAATAAGTATATTCTGTATGATAAAACCATTTAAATAACTTTGCCATTGTGGACTTTGACATATATCTTTCAAAATGATTTTAATTATAATAGATTTTCAAAGCAGAGCACATTATAATTTTTAAAATAGGTTGTATTCTTTGTTTAAAAAACAGGCATCTACTGCCACTTTTTATATACTGTTATGCAAAAAATATTAATAAGCATAATTTTGTTAGTATTTCAAATTTATAGCAATCTATACCTATATGAGAACTATCTTAATAGGAAATAAGGTCAAAATAATATTTTAGTGAATTTTCTTAATTCATTTACTATTACAGCAAAGCAAGTACCTTCTGAAGTTGCACTTAGTTTGGGCAAGTTTAAACCACTAATATGATGACATTATGAATAATAAGTTTAAACTTTGAATCTCAAACTAGTACTGAAATATTATGATTTAGGTGGTGAAATACTGGCCAGAGATTTCATCAAGCCATGGATTCTTGGTTTGGCGCTATCTTTTAAGAAGAGACGATGTTGAACCTGCTCCTTGGACCTCAGAAGGAATAGAACGGTCAAGGAGATTATGCCTACGTTTACAGGTTAGATTACATTTGTCTAGGCTACTTGTATATTGATAAAAATCTATACCTCTGTACTATACTATCAACATGTCTTAACACTAGATGTAACCCACAGCAATTGATCAGTGGACTGTAAGGGGTGAGGAATGAGATCATGCAAGTATACAGAAAGAAGAGAAGTAAAAAGGTAGCATCCTAGGTGTCAAACAGCCCTAAGACCAAGAATCGTGCTTAGAAAAAGTTGGGCTGGTCATTGAAAAGTAAAATATTTCCAATTAAATTTGGAAATGACTTGAAGTATGAGGGAAAGGGATACATAAAATTTAGGTATAGGAGGCCTCGAGAAGGGAAGTTTATCCTAGAGGGCATAGGGGGTGTGTCTCTGGTAAGGGAAGGGGGGAGGTGACTTGTAAGAGTGGTCTGCTTCCTACCCTTCTCACTTTTCCTCACCCCTTTTCTCTCTTCCCCCTCAAAGCTGCTTCCCTGTCCTGTCACCACCTTTAGTGCTGTGCCTTTTTTTTCCCTTTGCCCATGCTTAGCTGTTACCCCATATAAGACTTTGTTGGTTTTGTGTGCATAGTGGATGGTATGGCTACATTCCCCCTCCACTTCCTATACACCCTAGACTTTGTCCCTGACACTGACTTCAGAGCATGGTTTGAGTTTATCCTCCATCATTTCCCATCATTGTGCTTCCTGTAAAGACTACCAGCTTTGTCATTTTCCCTGGCTCTGCCCACACTGCATGTGTAGGGGCTGAACTATGGGCAAGTGTCTGACCACCCAGCCAGGTGAGTGTGTGTCTTTTAGTGCAAATCTGTTCCTGTTTTTGTTTTCTCTTTAAACTCATAAAATTGATTGTTTAAATGAGCCCCATGAGCTGCTAAAATAACTGCCAAATACAGTTGACCCTTGAAAAATGAAGGAGATTAGAGGCATTGACCCCAGCACAGTCGAAAAATCCACACATAGCTTTTGACTCTGCAAAACCTTAATAACCTGTTGACTGGAAGCCTTACTGATAACAGAAACAGCCAGTTGACACATATTTTGTATGTTGTATGTGTTGTATACTGTAGTCTTACAGTAAAGTAAACTAGAGAAAAGAAAATCTTAAGTAAATACATTTGTAGTATTGTACTGTGATACTGTAAGTTTACGTCATCTGTTTACAAGACGAATCGTCTGTCAGTACCTACATCAATATTGTCTTATATGATACAACACACCGTAGATGTTATATGTAGTTCTAACATTAGACATTAAAAATGAATAGATAATGCGAAAAAGAAATTCATATTTATAGGTATAACAATTCATAGATTGATAAAAAAAAAAGCTTTATGGTAGCCTAGTGTAGTTGATATGATTGTTTCATAGTAATAAGGAAATCTCCGAAAATTTTTCCAATATACTTATTGAAAAAAAGTTCACATGTAAGTGGAACCAAGTTGTTCAAACCTATGTTCTTCAAGGATCAACTATAATACTTTTTATAAATGATATTTAAAAACCTATTGTTAAACCCATTTTCAGAAGTTTTTTTCAGATCCACTGTTCATCAGAGAATGTTCTAGATAGGTTAGATATGAAACTGTGAGCAGAAGCATGTAAGCCCATCTACTATGATGAGCAAATGTATCATTGATGAGTCTTGAAACATATTCAGCTTTAAACATGAGTGTTATCACAAGCATGTCAAAAAAAAAAAATGTAGTAAAACTGCAAGGATAATAGGTAGAATTTATTCCTTAAAGTCTAACCTTTAAAAAAAGAATTCAGTAATTTAATGGCTTTAAGTCTCTTAAAAGCTTTTATTTTTCCCCCTAATTTTGAGAGATAAGAAATTTGATCCTTAACATTTTGGTGGGTTTTTTGTGGTTTGTTTTTTTTTTTTTTTAGATTGGCTCCACAGTTTAGTGTAATCCCATTTATATTAGTACCATCTTTTGTACTCTGTAGTTGTTCTTCATTTACCTTCATATCTAGATTCCACTTTCCTTTCTACCTCAAAATTTTCAAGCCACCTAGTCACAACTCCTGAAAACTTTCCTGTTTAGATCTGAAACTTAAGATCATTGTATTATAAAACAGAATATCTTAATCAAAACTATATAGTTTTATACTGAATTTGGGATTTTAATAATCTTCTGTCTTTTGAATTTTGTTCTTTAAATGTCTTTTTCCTTTATATAAAGTTTTTTCAGTTCAGGGAAAATATAGACTACTTCTCCCTCCCCTTTTAAAATTTCTCACCAGGATCGAAAACTCCCCTTCTCCGTGAATTTTAAGTTTACATTTACTTTTTTCCCCCATCAGTATCCAGTAGGTTACCCTTCAGATAAGGAAGGGAAGAAGACTAAAGGACAGACAAAGAAGCAGGCCAGTGGAGCCTCAAAAAGGCCGACTCCAGATAATGGTAGGTAATGATTATAAAAAATCAATTCTAATATTACAGTTTCTAAAGATAGAAATATTAAGAGAATAAACTGAGAAACTCATCAGAAATTAAAAGCAAGTGAAGGGGGGGGGAGTTTGTTTGTTTTCGGATAGGTGGGTGCTTTTTTATATTTTAATAGTGTCAGAACCAAAACAGCAGCAAATATAGTATCCCAAACTCCAGGGGAAGTTAGATGCTGGTTTATGCAGGTATCTTCATGCTAAACATTACTGGTGCCAGTTAACTCTTTTATTTCATAGTTCTGCTTAGAATCACTTGTAAGTCTGCTGATATATTTTTAAATAAATCTAGATGATTGTCCAAGTGCCTCCAAAGTGTTCAAAGCATCAGATTCAGCAGAAGCTGTTGAGGCTTTCCAGCTAACCCCTCAACAACAACATCTAATCAGAGAAGATCATCAAAACCAGAAGCTATGGGACGAAGTGCTTGCATCTCTTGTGGAAGGACCAGTATGTAAAGACTTTTTTTCATTATGATTCCATGCCTTTTCATTTTTTAATTTATTTTTTAATTATAGTTTGCATACAATATTACATTAGTTTTAAGTGATTAGACTTGTATATACCTAATGAACGTGATCATCACGATAAGTCTAGTAACCATCTGTCATCATATGTAGTTATCATGAGAAGATTTTTAAAATACTCCAATAAACTTAATTAAAAAAATAAAAATATTTTTAAAATAGTAATGTTTTGATAACAAATGATAAAAAAATAGTTTTCCTATGAAGTATCATTTTCACAAGTCAGTCAAAACTTGCTCCTTTTATCCAATCTCATCTAGTGTCACTAGCTTTCAGAAACAATCTGAAGCAGTACATAAATGCTCTTAAATTTATTTTAGACCTCTTAGATGTTGGTTTTTGACCTCTCTGTGTCTGAACTTAATTTATGTTGAGGTGCTGTTCATGGGAAGAATTTTCGGTTGTGGCACACACTCAACTTAATCTAAAACTCATCAGGAAACTTTTTATACTTCACAGTTACCCGATGGCATAAATCTTAAGCAATTCAGCACAATTTTCAATGCCTAAGTGATCATCCTAGGGATAAACTAGCATATTTATTTAAATACTTCATATGTTTTTAATTTTTTTCCATTTTTTGGTAATCATAAAATTTCAAAGTAAAAAGGAATTACAAGGTTAACTAATGCATGGATTTTGTATTAGCTGCGTTTTGCAAACAAAGCTTTCTTATCAGATCCCCAACTAGAGGTTTCAAATATGAATTGTCAAATTGTCCCTTGCTTTTATTGTCTTGAATTTTGCTTACAAATTTGAATCTCTTATGTTTTATTAGATAATATTATTATCTAATAATATTAATTGATATTAGATAATATTATTATCTAATAATATTAATTAATGTTATTATCTAATGTTTTATTAGATAATAACTCCCTTCTCATCTGTTTCCTTCCAAAGTATTGTGATGTGCAGCTATTGTTGGTGAGCTCTAGTATCCTGTCTTGAAATTCCATCTGGTCATCTTTTAGTAATTTCTTCTTGCCAATGTTCCTTTTATTTCCCTCTGCATTAGCCAGAACTTCTTGTTTGCCTGAAATAGGGTTAATGAAATGTGTGTGTGTGTGTGCACGCACGCGCATGTGCTTTTATCTACATTTAAAGGAAATTCTCATAGAGTTTCTGTATTGCTCTTTGTTTGAGAAATATTATATTAAGGAAGAATATTCCTGATATAATTTTTAAACTTTTAGAAATGGGTAAGATTTATTAAATACTCTTTGGATTTATATTGAAGTCATAATTTCCTTTGCCTAAAAATGTGATATGTTGAGTTATCCTTGATAGAAGGAGGCTTACATGTTTGAAAGACAGACGTAAAGTAATTTAGATCTGTGAGAAGTGTTACTTGATTTTTAGGTAAGAGACCCAGGCATAAAGAGAATCTGACTCTGGTAGGTCAGGCTCATTTTCACTTAGAGCAAGTAAGATACAGCAAGCAGTTGTTGATCACAGTCTAATTATTCTCTGGTTGGAGAGGATACAGCTGATTAGTGATAACTTGAGGGAGTTCTAGCTGTGGGTGTGGGCAGGGGACAAAGCAAATATCAGTGAAGGAAAAAGCCCCCTGAGTGCACAGTGAAATTCATTTGCACATCTGTTGTCTGTACTGGACATGTGTATTGGGCTTCGTGTGAATCTTTTATTATGTATATCCTGTTTATGAATTTTAAAAAATTATCAAAATGATTGAATCCTGTGAGACTTGGCAAGGATGTTCAAATCAAGTATACCTGACTTTTCAACCCCTTCTTTCAATGTAATTTTCATATGAAATCAAGTCACCAGTTGACAGTTCTTAAACCAAAAAAAAGACTGAAAAATAATCCTGCCCTCTGGTGGCAGGATCTTAAGTGCCTAAGTCAGGTGATGTGATGTTGCTGCTAATGATTACTCTGAACGTTTATGTACTATTGGTTCCCCTAGGCAGGTTTTGTGACCATTTTCTTCAGATAAGCCAGGAACACATTTATTAAGCCAGAAAAATCAGCTGTTGGCCAATGGTGACTTTTAAATAAATGTACATATAATATATGTGTTTATATCCAGACACCTTCCCAAGGTCCTATGTGATCTGTCATCCCTACCTACCTCTGCAGACTCCTTTCGCTACTCTCTCAGGCCCGTACTGCTTTGGCTACAGTGATCTCTGTTATTTAACATATTCAACTCACTCCTGCTGCTAGGCCTTTATACACATACTATTTCTCTGACTGGAATTCTCTTACTCCTTCATATCCTGTAAGTTTCTGCAATAGTATTACACTACTCAGAGAGGACTTCCCTAACTACCCTTTCTAAAATAGCCACTCTTTATTCTGTTGTTTTAATTTGTTTTGTTTTCTCAGTTATTACTATCTGAAATTGAATTTTTTTTTTTCAGTCTGCTTGCCTAAAGGAATATAAAGTTCCTTAGAGCAGAGACTTTGCCTTTTCTATCATCACTGCATAGATGAGTGCCTAGCACATCGTAGCAACTCCAAATACCTATATGACGTATACTCGTATTATAGGCACCATGGTGGTACCGGGGAAATATTAGTCATTAACAAGGAAATTTTCAAGTACTAAATTTATAGCTTTTTCCCCATCTTCCCCTAATTGGTATATTCTTTTGATGTGTTGCATAATACTTTGTTGATAACTCACTTGACTTTCATAATCCATGTTTATAAATTAGTATCAAGACATAACTTTGAAATAGGATCTTTGATTTTTTTCTTTAATTGAGGTGTAATTAACATACTACATTGTATTAGTTTTAGTTGTACAACATAATGATTTGATATTTCTGTATATTGCAAAATGATCACCACAATAAGCCTACATTTGCCACCATACATAGTTACAAAACTTTTTTTCTTATAATGAGAACTTTTAAGATATACTCTCTTAGTAACTGTCATATAAGTATAGTCATCATGCTGTACATTACATCCCCATGACCTACTTACTTTATAACTGGAAGTTTGTACCTTTTGAATCCTTGCACACATTTTGTACCCCAATTCTGACCCCCAGCAACCACCAGTCTGTTCTCTGTATCTATGAGGTTGGGGTTTTTTTGTTTTGTTTTGTTTTGTTTTTTGTTTTTTGTTTTTGTTTTTTTTGTTTTTTTTAAGTTTCCATAGAAATGAGATCATACTATGTTTATCTTACACTTTGGGAATCTTTGGTTTTTTATTTTTACTTGACATTCTTGTAAATTCTACGTTTTCTATTAATTTAAAGAAAAAATATATATATACTCTCCTACTACCAAAATAACTGAATAGAGGATTATCCTTGTGACTATTCAAAAATCTACTTATCTTTTTAGTTTAAAAGAACAAATGGGGAATCAATAATGGTTTTGAAGAGCATAGAGTACACATTTGATTATGTTTGCTTTAGACAGCTCTATCTCTTATAATTTAGTCCCAATTTGAGTAAACATTAGTATCAAGAAAATATGGAATTTTTAGATTGCAACAAAATATCACAGAAGATAATCTTAGGAAAATAAATATGTTGATTCGTTGGGGTCTTAGATATTACAGAGTATTATTGCCCAGTGCTGTTTTTTGTTTGTTTGTTTTTTTTAAGGTTAAAAAATATTCAAGTTTTATAGCAAAATATTGAATAAATAATGTTTGTTCATGTACTGGAATACCATGCAGCTTTTTAAAAACTGTATGTAATGACCTTGAGATAAATTGTCCATGATTTTTTAATTGAAAAATTGTACACCGGATATGAGTTTTAGGGGAGTATTTTCTTTTTAATGCTTTGCCTTTGCAACCTTTTCAACCCAATCCTAATATTTAAAACTGATATATATATCTTATGGAATGGTTTTTTTTTTTTTTTCCAGTTTCAATTATGTGTTTGCTAGTCCTTACAATCACTATGGATTTTTTAAAATAAAAAAATGTATTACATGGGACCAAGACACTTTTTTAAATCACTTTGAATTTTACTAATGTTTCATGAAATGCTAACCTTTTTTTTTCCCTTCCTTTTGGGTACCATCTAGAATTTCCTGAAAAAATTGGAGCAATCTTTTATGTGTGTCTGCTGCCAGGAGCTAGTTTACCAGCCTGTGACAACAGATTGCCTCCACAATGTCTGTAAAGTAAGTAGAATTCCTTTCTCATTTTCCCTTATTAAGCCAGAAGGCACACTAACCTCCAAACCTGTTTTTAGCATGTGAAGCATTTTTTCATAAAACAGGATAGTTATGGAACCTTGCCAGTTCAGAAGCATTTAATTACATCTTGGTGGTAGATGCATGTTTTAATTCGATAGTAATAGTAATTCAGATATATATAGTTGAGATATTCAGTCACGTTTGGCATTGTTGAGGGGTCGAAATGGAAAAGAGAAAGTAAGGTGTCATTTTCATTGCTGTTTTCTCTTATAGTTTTTGTATGGTTCACACAGTACAGCCCAAACTGAAGTAATTCCATGCACTTAATGGAATCTAAAAAAGATTCTATTTGGCAACATGCCCAGAGGAGTTTGATATGTGCTATCAGTGTAGTGTGAAAGGAAAATTTGATTTTTAGTAAAACCAAGGTTGGAATCTTGCTCTACCGCTTGGCGGTTATGTACCCTGAGCTAACTTCTAAACTTTAGTTTGTTTCTCTTGTAAAATGGAAACAAACCTTCCATATCTGTGTTTGTGCCTGACTTTGAATTAGTTAACTCTGTAATATATTTTGTACCTATTTATACATTTTTGGATGACACAGTATATGTCAAGTGATTTAATAAAATATATAATTTAGTTCTAAGCATGGAAATCCTGATTTTTTTTTTCTTTAATGTTCTGTCAGGAAAGAACAGTATTAAAGCATAACCTAGAAAATGGGTTAGTGGGAACCATACATAATCTGTTACACCCTCATTTTTTACTAGATGAGAAAATTAAAGCACGCAAAAGTTAAGTCATTTACCTGAAGTCTCACAGTATATGCTAGAGGTGGAACTAAAACCACGTCTATAAACGGGTTTTCATAGTGCAGATTCAGGGCATTACAGGTTTTCATCTTTTATGTTTTTCTTGTTGCCAAACAATAAGTTTCTAGTTCGTATTTAAAAGCGTAAGTTGTTGAGTACTTTTCTACATGCTTTACCCTCAGATGAAGTTGGATGTGTTTTTTGGGTTTGTCTCCTTGTGTTTTGCCTTAGGATTGCTTACAGCGCTCCTTTAAGGCTCAGGTTTTCTCCTGCCCTGCTTGCCGGCATGATCTTGGCCAGAATTACATCATGATTCCCAATGAGATTCTGCAGACTCTACTTGACCTTTTCTTCCCTGGCTACAGCAAAGGACGATGATCTGTCTACATCTACTGTGTTGTTCCTGGTGATTTCTTTGGACAATAAAGAATCTAAAATGGTTGGGGTGGGTGGGGGTGAAAGCAATGGTGGACCATATTTCTCATGTTCTGAAGCAGCTAATCCTCTTTCCTACATAGCCATCATCTTGTGTGTGTAGTAAGAGGCCCATTTCTCAACTGTCTTTTAAATATCAAAAGGTAGTTCCTGTCAGTAACAACTAGTTGTAATGAGTAAAAGTCAAAGCCTCAGCTCTAGTTGATATCCAAGTTATGATTTATTTTGCAACTACCTCAGGACAGAAAAGATTTATGGGGATTTTTTAAATCATTGAATAATTAGTTAAATGAAATTTTAGCTACACACTGCCTCCCAAATATTAGTTGTGCCTGGTTCATGTAATTTGATTTTACAGAAAAGGAAATGACACTTGAGATTGTTGGAATGAACGCAGCTTCTGTAGTGTGCATAATATATTTTTAATGTCTTCTTCCATTACAATGTGTGTTTTGCAAGGACAGGTTCATTTTTTAGCCCATTTTGTGAACTCCATTGTGCTTTTTTCTGGTGTTTTATGCAAGTTGACTACTAATGACTAATGAGAACAATATGAATGCATTGTTGCTGCATTAGTGTAATGTGGTGTGGTTTTGCACTTAAAAAGAGGTGTTCAGAAGCTCTAATTGTAAATGTTTATGAAAAGCCTCTTCTGTACTAGTCAAACTGCTTTTAGTGAGTCTCACCAGTGGTTTTACATCTGCAGAGCAATGAGGACTGGGCTGACTTTTGAGAGGACTGAAATTGCTTCATATTGTGATCTTAAATTTTATATTCACTATACTCCCTAAAGTATACCTTAATAAATATTTTATGACCAGCAAAATAACTCATCTCGTTTCACTGTTTTACATTTGTCTGTCTTATAGTACATATTTTTAAGAATCAGTCACTTCTAGAGTGTTTCATAGTACATTTTTATTGAAACAGACATTTCGTGCAATTTTTTACCCTTGATTTTTGGTAATGAGAACTAGTATGAAATTTTAAGTACTAAGGACAGATTTCACCCTGGGTTTGAGTGTTTGTTTGTTTGATTGTTTGTTCGTTTAATTTTACTAAATGGGAAAATTTTTTCAATATAAGAACTTCAGTTTTATGTTCAATTTTAGCATAATTAGTGCTACTTCTTATTTCACAGACACAAGAATATTCTAAAACATAGTTCTAGTCTCTGAAACTCTTGTTATATTTTCATCAGAGAAAAATTTTAATTTGATTGAATTAATTTTCCTACCCCTGAATTTAGAGCCATATATATAGCTAGTATTTATTGAATATTTGCTTTACACTAGTCATTTGTATGTTTTGATGTGTATTCATTTAATCTGATTGACAATCCTAAGAGGCAGGTGCTGTTATCCCTTCTTATGGTTGAATATCAAAGGCACAGAAAAGTTAAGAAACTTGCCAAAATCATACACCAAGGAAGTAGCAGAACTGTACTATGAATTTAGGCACTTGAGTCTAGAACCAGCAATCTTTACTTCTGCACTATATAGGCTCTCACATTTGAGTATAAGCTAAACTAGTTTCAGTGTTTTTTCTACATTAAATTGAAAACCAGATTCTGGTAATTGGAGCTATTGTCATGTAGAATTAGTTATAAACATTGGAATCATTTTTATTTTGAAGAATCAAATTTAAATAGGACCTTCTTAGATCGAAAATGAATCATTAAATTGTATTACCTTGTGTTATAATTCCCTCCTGCATTGGCCATCTCTCTGCATGAAGAAGGGTGGGGAATATCTCTCAGTTTCATCTACTTGAACTAGTTTAGTTCTACCACTTTTATTAATAAAATAAGTGATCCCCACAATTAGGCTATATGTTGTCTTAACTTTGCTATAACATGACAGACTAGGAAAGAATGCTGATTACAGCTTAACATGTTCAGTCAAGTCACTGTCAAGTATGGCCCAAAGCTAAGCAATTTTATGTTAGTCTTAAACTTTTTTTGAAGACTTTGGTTTATTTTACATAAATATTCCAGTTTTTATCTGAAAGATACAGACTTTTAGAAAACAAATACCCTTGTCACATATGTAAAAATTTAATGGTAATTATGTCAAATATCTAGTAAATGTTCAAATTTATTTTGTCTCAAATGTCATACATGGATATTTTATTTAAGTTAGTTTGTTTGAATCGGGATCCAAATCTTCCATTGTTATATTACTGTCTCTTAAGTATCTTTTAATCTGTATATAGCTTCTCAATCTGTTTATTTTTTTTCCTTACCTTTTATAATTTGTGTGTTGAAATTGTTTTAGAGTCTTTCTGACAACATAGATTTTTCTGAGAGTGGAATGGTTTAACCTGTTTCCCTTTATTTTCTGTAAATTGGTAGTTAGAATTCAAACATGACCAGATTCAGATTTTTTTTTTTTTCTTTCAAGACTTCAGAAGTGGTGTGGTCATCCTTCAGGTGATATGTAGTATCTGGTTGCCTCTTAGGCTTAAGTTTCACTGAGCTTTTCACTGGATTCTTTACATTTGGTAGGTTACAGTGATTACTATTAAGTACTCAGCTACTTTCATATAGGTAGAATATTTTTCTTTAATTTTTTCTAATTAGAGTAGGCAGGACTTCTAGTTTTAGAACTAACTTCTAAATAGTATGGTTCATTCACCAAATAGGTGCATGCTAGTATGTTTAAGGATATTAGGTAATTTTTCGGAAGCTAGCCGTCTAAAACACCCTTAGCTCTCTCACAGCAAATTGTTGTGACAGTTTGGCTAACAAAAGTGGGCCCTGCCTATATAACTTAAAGCCTTAGATTTTTATATAGATCCTACTTACAAGAGCTGTGTAGAAGTCTGCTCTGACTTGCCTACTATCTGCTCTTTCTTTCTTTGCTTACTTGGGACCAAACTTTCCCCCATTCTTCTTCTGGACACCCTAAAAGATGGAGCTCATGGCTGTCCACTAAATTTGAGGGAATTGAACTTGATGGCCCACTTGCCACCATCTCAATTTGGACAGAGCTATTCTTGCTTGTCCACTGTCTGCTGACTAGTCCCCATACCAGAACTTTAAATCCTTAAAGGAATTGATATTTAATAACCTAGATTAAGCTACTACACAGGAAAGAAAAAGTTAAATACTAGTCACTGGACATAAGGAATCAAAAACTAGAGAAACTAAGCAGGATGATTAAATGACTACTATTGAAAAAAATGAATGAAAGAAGTTTTACTACTATCTCAAGTATGAAATTTCATTGCATTGATGGAAGAACAAGCTGCTGTGTGAAGAGTAATTTGAAATTAAAATTCTTAGAAGTAAACATAGTTGTGGGGGAAAAAAAAATGTAACAGACAAAACAGAATGGACACTGCCAAAACTTTGAACATACACTGAGTAATCCGTTATATATGGATATGCCACAATATGTTTATCTCTTCATCTGCTGATGGATATTTGGGTTGTTTCCAGGATTTTGCTATTATAAATAAAGCTGCTACCTTTGTGTGTAAGTCTTTGGGAAATAGTTTGATAATTTCTTAACAAAATCAAATATGTGCTTACCATACACATCAATTTCATTAATAGTTACTTAAGAAAAATGAAGAGGTATTTCCAAAATAGTTTATATCTTTTTATATTCCCGCCAGTAGTGTATGAGAGTTCTGGTTATCGCACATTGTTACTAAGGCTTCATTTTCTTTTCAATGTAACCATTCTAAAGGGTACGTAGTTTCTGTATAAAACAGGAGTGGGGTGATAGTCGATTTATTGTACTGTTCACCAGCTATTTCTGGCTCTCAAGTTCACATGTTAGGATTGTACATCATAGCCTCTTTATGGTTGGCTAGGGCCATGCTCTATGTCTGTTGGGCGGGTTATTTGTTTTTAAAATACAAACAATTATGGAGAAACTATAGCAAATACTTTGTGTACAGACTAGCCAGTATTGATCATTATTAACATATTAGTTTTTCTTAAATAAGCTTAAATAAATTAAATGAAGCTGACATGTGCTTTCATCACCCTGCCCATTTCCCTCCCCACCCAAGAAATTATCATGAATTTCATGTTGCCTTTTCAGTTTATGTGTTTATATATAGGTATTCATAAACAAAATCTAGCATTTCACATGTTAAAATTTATACAAATGATATATTTTACAACTTTTTTCATTCATCTATATTTTGGGGTCCTCATTTTGTTTTTATCATAAAAGGGCAGGGGTACTTTTTCTTTCTTTTTTTTCCTTGTTATAAAGGATTTGATCTCTCATCTTCTCTCACCCTCTCCCACCCTTGCACTGGACTAAAAGTTACTCAGTTATTCAATCAGCTTCTGTTATTTAGTGGTCATTCTTAAACTTTTAACATACCTATGCTTTAGAGCGTATTAATATTTATAAAATGATCAATACTTTAGTTTTTTTCCTGAATATCTCACCTTATTTTTATTTCCCTTCCTATTATCTTTTCTGACCTATTTTCCATGTTAACATTTACTATTTTAGTTATAGCCTCTTTAAAACCCAAGTTATTTTTTAAAAATCTGTGACTTGCTGATTTATTGACAAGTTTCATCTCTTTGTTTGCTGTTTCTTACTGAATACTTCAAGATGTTTTTGTACCACAGACCGGAAGGTCTATGAACAGTACATTTTCTCTATCTTTGCAAGTTTGAACATGAGTTTATTTTTCACATTGATTTTAGATAGATAAATTGACTGGGTTTAGAATTCTAGGTTGCTAGTTATCTTTCTTCAGCATCTTGTAGGTGTTCATTGTGTTCTGGAGGCTGTTGTTGCTGAAAAAAGTTGAATGTCAACTTGTCATTTCTTTGAAGGATATCTGTTTATTATTAGCTTCTGAGTTTCACTGAAGTCTGTCTAGGTGTGGATTATTTTCTATTTGCTTTGGGACCCATTGTACTCCTTTACATTGAAAATGCATATCTTCAGTTGTAGAAATTTTTTATTTTCTTTTAAAAATATTGCTTCTCTCCCACATTCTCTATCTCCTTCTGGACCTACTAGAAGTCTGTAGCAGTCTATCCTCCATTCTTTAACATCTTATATCTTTTATCTCTTTACCCTCTCTGTGCTATGTTCTAGGTGTTTTCCTCATATCTTTTTTCCAATTCATTGAATTTTCTCTTTGACTGTAGTCCACTGTTTAACCCACTTAAGTAAATTATTTTATTTCAAGAACTATTTTCTTCTAATTTTGTTTTAAAGTTTGTCTGTTCGAGTTTCATAATCTCCTGTACTAATTTATGGATTTCTGTTCTTCTGTTATCTATGTGAGCATTTAAAACATGCTTATTTCCAAGTCCTTTTAATCTTTCTCACATTTCTGTTTCTTAAAGTAAGAATTCTGCCATTCATTGCTGCTTAACATTTATTTTCATTTGTTTTGTCAATGTATGAGTTCATCTTCTGTGGCATTTTCTTTTCAGGGTTTTGTTTATGGCTTTGTTGTGGACACAATTGCTTCCTTTGGAGAAATTTTTAGCTCGTTTTATCTGGGGCCCTATATGTTTTCCTGAAACTGAACCAGTTATTTTGCTAATTTTGTTGAATGGAACCCCATGATGCGACTGGTATGAATTTGGCTACTGCATGAGAGGGAAAGCTTGTTTCCTACTCTGACCCGGGGTTTAGTAGATACCGATTTTTCAGTCCTCATATTGGAACAGGAGCTTTCCCAGTTCTGAACATGCTTCTTACTGTCCATTATAACTGTAGCCTCAATTCCTAACATCTATTCCCTGACATCACTGAAACCCTACAGTGATGTCCAGTACAGTCCATTATAACTGTAGCCTCAATTCCTAACATCTATTCCCTGACATCACTGAAA